ACCTCGGCCTCCCAAAGTGCTGGGATTACAGGTTGAGCCACCCAGTCCAGGCAATTTTTTTTTTTAAAAGACAAGATCACACTCTGTCAACCAGGCTTGAGTACGGTGGTGCAATCATAGCTCACTGCAGCCTCAACTTCTGGGCTCAGGTGATCCTTCCGCCTCAGCCTCCTGATTAGCTGGGACCACAGGCATGCACCACCATGCTCAGCTAATTATTTTATTTTTTATTTTGTAGAGACAGGGTCTCCCTATGTTGCCCAGATGGTCTTGAACTCCTGGCTTCAAGCAATCCTCCTGCCTCAGCCTCCCAAAGTGCTGAGATTACAGGTGTGAGTCACCGCACCCAGGTTAGTCCCAGCACCTCATGGAGAATTTGTCAGCATATTCTAGCAGGCAGGACACACATTCCTGAGTCAAAGCTGGACTTGGACCCTAGCTCCACCCCTTCTGCCTGTGAGGCCTCAGGCGGTTTCTCCATCTGCAAAAGGGGCACAATAACAGTAGTTCCTGTGGTGTGGGGTTGGAGACAAAAGCGATGAGAAGACTCGAAACTCAGCACCTGTCACAGAGGAAGGGCCGAATGAACAGGGACAGTTTCAAAAGAGAGTGGGATTTCCCACTTGGACCCCAAGCTGGAAGGGTGTTTTAGTCCGTTCCGTCGTATTGCAGAGAGAACTGAGGCCGGCAGGCGGCAGGTCCAAAGGGCACACAACAGTTTGGTGACCACCAGCACCTGTCACCAGGTGAGCAACCCCTAGGCTCGTGCTCCTGGCAGCCCCAGCCCTTGCCAGGAGTCTGGAGGGAGGGGGTGACTGAGGTTGCGTGGCCTGGGACCAGGGAGAGGCGTCGCCTGCAGGTCTGAGGGGCGGCCACTGGGTGTCGCTACGCAGCCAAAAACCACAGGCAGGGCTCAGACTCCTCCCGGGACTCCTCCCGGGACTCCTCCCGGGACTCCTGGAGTCCTTATCCATTCCAGCCCAGAGCTCCCCTAAGGGTCGCCCCAAGGGACGATTTCACATAATCCTACCACCCCTTCTGCCCCCTCCCACCTGCTAAAAGGAAAACCTGGTCACAGCCTCTGGGGTGGCAGGGGGCTCCGCCCAGCTGAGCTCCTCCTCCCCACACAGTTCTCCAGCACCTCCTCCCCCCACCCCTCCCCGACCCCGGACCCCTCCCTGCCTTTTACCTTGCTGGCCTTCCACGTGGAGGACCTGCTCTCTCACCTCTGCCTGATGCAACCTGTTACCTGCCAGACACTGTGCACTGGGTATTTCAAGTCCACCAGCAACCTGCCCGGAAGGTGTGGCTATCCCTGCCCACAGGTGCAGGAATAGATTCGGAGAGGCATTGCTGGAGTCACACGGCGGAAGTGGGTTTGCGCCCAGGCTCCTAGATGGACACGCTATGTCCCAGATCCTGCCCAGACTGTGGGCTCCCTGAAGGCAGGGCTGGGTGGAATTCCTGTTTATAACACTAGCACCCAACCCTTCACCTAGCAGGCAGTTAGCACTCGCAAAGCACCTCTCTCCAGAGTCTTCCCCTAACTCCTAGATGGCACCTATCGGGTGCTAGATGCTAGGCGAAGTGCTTTACATATATGTATAATGATAACCTACTAGCTGAGTGTGGTGGCTCATGCCTGTAATCCCAGCACTTTGGGAGGTCTGAGGCAAGAGGATTGCTTGAGCCCAGGGTTTGTTTTTTTTTTTGGAGTTGGAGTCTCACTCTGTCACCCATGCTGGAGTGCAGTGGCACACTCACAGTCGCTGCAGCCTTGACCTGCTGGGCTCTGGCGATCCTTCCGCCTCAGCCTTCCGAGTAGCTGGAACTACAGGTGTGCACTACCACGCCCAGCTAATTTTT